TTTTTTTTTTTTTATAAAACAGGTCCTTATGGCCCCGGCTCCATCTCCATTCTGCCGAGCATCAGTCTGGTTCCTATTCCACCGGCAAGTCAGAATAAAACATCACATCATGAAACCCACTCACGCTTCCTTCCGTCCGGCGGAAGGATCCCTGACGAGCATTGATTACTCCAACATCGTGGAGGATTGACTGTCAGCTTGCCTTACTTCCTTCTTTCCTCTCAGGTCTACTGCATGAACCTGTCAGATAAATGATAAAAAGCAAGAAAGGTAAAAGAAGACACAGAAGATGCAATATCGGAATTCGCCCTCCAACATTATGTGTCCTGTGATGGAACTAGTCCTTCTGCTGGCTGGGAACTCTGCCTTCTCCTCCTGCTTCGGAGTTGTGCCAGTCTTTCCACCGTATGCAAGAGTCAATTATCTCTGCCACTTTGCCCCTTGCAAGCCACACCTTAGTGAAATTTGGCTTGATTCTTTTCTGTTGCTCTTCGTCATCTGGCATGGATAGTCTTGTCTTATGCGACTTGCAAAGAATCTCCGCTGGAATCAGGGTCCTTGTCTCCGCCCATACCTTCTCCCTTGGAGTTGAGATTCCCTCAATGGTTCTGCAGCACCTTCCCTTCCAGATGGACCAAAGCGTTGTCTTTCTGATCATTCCAAACCACATTTTTTCTGTCTTATGGAATTGAGCCGGGATGTTAATCCATAGAAGGAGTTGGATGGGATGTTCAGGGAGGGGAATCGAGAAGAGGGAGTCCCAGAGATCCGAGGCTCTCGCCCGGTATTCCGTCACCTCTCTACAGCGTATCAGGCAGTGTAGCATATCTTCTTGTTCATTTTCTGAACATACTGCGGATAAATCTGAACTGTTAGGGTCGTTCTTACTTCTTCTGATATGCAGCCACTGGTTAACCGGAAGAGCCACATATGAGACGAGTCATTGGAGGCTTCTGATTTTGACCGGGCGGATTGACTTGAATTTCTTCCATGGTATTTGTGGGATCTGACTAGCGTCTTGACCTATTAACTTCTGCCATTTGTTCTTGATCGTTGGGTCAGGATCCTTTGTTTTGAGGAGTAAGTTGTATCCCAGTTTTACTGTGTATTCCTGAATGGGGACATTCGTTTTGAGGCTTCTGCTTCTGTCTGGTGTCCAAGCCCACTCTGCTGGATCAAATTCCAAGTCTTGAATCGCGGTATCTGTTCTGAAGGTTGATTTGGCCATGATCCCAACACTCTTACTTTTCTGAGTACAAAAGGGTTTAGGACTGTTCTTTCCACCTCTTGATTCAGGATAGATGGAAGACCTTGCGTTAGAGGGGGTAATTGGGAAAGAAGTAAACACCGCCAGGGTACCCGATCCTTGCTGTTTATGGGAGAATTGATAGGCCCTTGATGGGGTTAAATCCTGTACCCTCACTTCCCATTCACCCGATTTCCAGGTTGAGACTTCACTCAACAATTCCTTCCAGCCTTCTGGGATGCAGTTGATAATGGATTGTAGATTATCGTCTCGCCGATGACAACCTTTGGGCTGGGAGGCAAGTTCCTGTTCTGTCACCCAGTCCTTTTTCTCCTCATTCCTCAGATGGCTCACTTTCCAAACACCGTGTTTGATCCAAGATAGCCATCTCCTTCCTCTAGGCTTAAGGGATAGTTGGTGATCACTTCCATCTCTCACCCACGGATTACCAAACAGAGGTTGCCTCAGTACCTCGTCTTTGGATTTGGGTTTACCCACCTTCTTCGGCACGAGTTCCCGCCATATCCGTAGCAATGCAGTCCAATATGGTGTAGGGGGCCTGGCTTCGCTTGGAACGGTTCCTCTTCGTTGATTTCTGCGCCCTGTACTTGGACTCCACTCCTTGGTCATTACCCAGAACAGACCGGACATGTTGGCTGGTGGGGCTATGGGTGCTAGGCCCCTGATGCTATCCAATGCCAGTTTATTCCATGTCGTACCAGGTTTAGTCAGTAGTTTGATTATCCATTTAACTTCTAAGGCTTTGGTTTCCTGTTTGGGGTCTATGATACCAAGACCTCCTTTGGCTGGTACCACCACTACCTTTCTCAGTGTTGGGAAAAATAGGAATTTGACCTACTCCGAAGTTTTCGGAGGTCCCGTGGAGGCTCAGCATCGGACTTCACAAAAATGAAAAAAGAAATTATTTGGGACTTGTGGGCCTGCTAGAGTGAAAAGAAAAAGAAAAAAGGATACTGTATCGAGATCTACGATGTCGGGGTCCTCAGGGATGGCCGTGACAGAGGCAATACTCACGCTAGTTCTTGGAATAATGTACCTATCTACCAGCCTCTAGTCCAGCTTTTTTTTTTTTTTTTTTTTGGCCTAAGCCGGGCCTGTCCCTTTTTTTTTCAGGTTCATCCTCAACTCTGCTCTGTGAGGGGAGCAGTATCCCGGCCCCTAACCCCTGGTGCGGGATGGAAGGCCTCGGGGGATGGACAGCCTCAGGTAACGTACCACCACCAGCCAGGGAGCAAAGCCATCGATCTCCGCTGGTGAGCCCGAAGTGCGTCGCAGGGGACCGGGGGGGGTCCAACGTGTGCGCGGCTGGGAATCGAACCCGCGACCTCCTGAATGCCACTTACGTGCTCTACCAACTGAGCTAGGGCGGCTGGCCAGATGTTTTTTAAAATTTTAGTGTTTTTTCTTCTTTTCTTTTTCTCAGAGTACCCTGCCAGCGAGGCAGGACGTATTCCTTGGTCTGCTGATGCGTACTCACAGTAGCACTTGAAAGACTATATCAGACCGCTTTCACAGCCCGAAGCAGTGTTTCGTTTTTTTCCCCTTTTTCTTCTTTTTGAGTCTGATGCCCGTTTGTCACGGCTGAAACGCCCTCGTCCTCACATTAGTATTTGAAAGAATGTATCCAACCGCTTTTACAGGCCAAAGGTTTGTTTTTTCTTTTTTGTTTTGTTTTTTTTCTTCTTCTATTGTGAATATAATGCCGTGATGGGATACGTTTTCGTTTGGGTACCAAAACAAATACTTGTGGTTAAAAATGGCACGCAGTTAAATTCAGGGTCGGCAAAAAGAGGATCGGAGGTACTGGTGGTTAAAAAAAAAAAAAGGATATGTTAGTTAATAATGTAACAATATATTTTACTTGCAAAATTACTGCTACTCAACTATGCGGTCTGCTCCTCACCTTTGCTGTTCGCAACCAGCACAGTGTCCCTCTATTGCTGTCTATTGCTGGGCTTCTATTCAAGACAGGCAGCAGGTGCTATGAGCCCTTTTCCCGACTCTGGAGTCTGGTTGTTGGTTCACAATACCTTGTCTTACTGTTTGCCTGAATGGCACATGCTGATCAACAAATCGTGAGTTCAAATTCTGCTGGATACACCCAGGTCCACATATGTTTTTTGTTCCCTTTTCTTCTGTAAACAAGTGAAGACCAGCCATCGAAAAGGAAACAGACTGAATGACCGAGCACTCGTTGCGTTCACTTCGCTGACTCACCTGGACCTTCATGCTTGCTGATCGACTGCCAACATCTGGAAAGCAAAGATCATTTTTGTTCTCCGAGGGTGGATGAAGGTGGTTGGATGATCCAAGCGGCTGGTGAAAATGAAAGATTGAATTTGATGAACAGCGACCAACTACAAGAAATGTCTGCTAGGGTGAGTGGCTGCTACTACTCACTTGTCCTCTCAGGTCCTCTACTCTCCCCGTCAAATCTGGAAGTTCTTTCTTCCTTCCGACTTTCCTTTTTGCTGAATGTACTGTGGTTCTTCATAGTTGATGGCCTTTATGACAGTTATCCTTGTGAATTCACTGAATGTTCTTCGTTTCCTCCTAGTGGGTGGCCTGTATGACAGTTCATTGTGAGGCGATGAAGCGAACAGAGGAAGAACGTCTAATGCTTCCCTGTTGGTGGGTGCTCAGCTAAGAGGACGAAGTACAGTACGTGAATGGTTTGCTCTCAGTTAAGAGAACGCTATTTGAATGTATATGTGTGCCATAGAAAGATGGACGGATACATGCAAGAGGATGGGAGTAATTAAAAAAAGAAAAAAAGAAGAATGGGACTAAGGAACCACTGTCCGTCCTGAGTAGTCTGTGATGTTCAGGATGTGCTCGGCATCTCCTGGATAAGTTGTTATCTGCTTTTTTTTTGTCCAAAACAAGATGGGTATTATGCCCCAGTGCAGAAGACGATTTGAAGTTTGAACTCTTGATCTGTTTATTTAATACACTTAGATGTGCATGCATTTCAACCGCCAAGATTACATTTATTTACTTATTTATTCCTGACAATCTTTCGGTTCATTCGTGGGTGGATTCAGGAAGTGCTTGATGCTGAAGCAGAGTGCCTAGCCCCAGGAGACATGTCCCACTATCCAGTTGATCAGCATATGGAAGTCTTCCATCAAGCCTGCGCCCAGTGCAGTCCCAATGAAGAGTCCCACCTTGGGACAGGCGGTTCCTGTTCACCACTAGATTATCCATCGCACAATCTGGAGCAGCAGCAGTCTTCTCAGAGCGCAAACCATTTCTCCATACCTTTTGAGCAGAGTCATCATGATCTTTTGTATATTCCGCTAGACCTTCCAGGGGTCCTTCCTCCTCCCTCTCCTTCTCCTCCTCCTCCTGATCCTTGTCATCGTCATCATCATCATCATCATCATCATCATCATCATCATATTTGTTGTGAACAACAAGAGGCGCAGGAGCAGCAACAACATGCGCGACGACAGGAGCAGCAACTGCTGCACAGCTTGTTTACCCATCCTGACCTACAGATGCCCCAATTACATGAGCAGGGACATCAGGGAGATTCAGGCACACTAATCCAGGGTTCAGATTATGACATGGCAAAACATCCTGGGGATAGCATCGGCTCAACTAACGTCAACTTACAGTCGATGAGAAATACAGCATTGAATCCAGTAGAGTTGATGAAGCATGACGCAGTGGGAACGGGAATCAGTGAGGAGGTGGACTCTCACTTTCTAGAGTGTTTTGAAAGATTGGTCATCAGTAAGGAGGAGACATGCTTGTCACCCTTTGGACAAGATGACAACACTCATCAGCAGACTGTGAGTAACCATGGGTTTTTTATCAACGACTTTGCACCAAGCTGGGTGTTCACTCAAGACCACCAAACAAAGGTGCAGTTCTCCATCTTCCCCTTCCACCGTTTTACTAACTTTAAGTTATTATCGAGTATTTAATAATTCTATTAATATATAAAATTAGACTATTGCAATGAAAATGAGCAAGAGCGATGGCCAGACATAAGTGGTTAACAGGGACCCCCCACCAGCCCTGGTCAACCCCCTCAACCCTGAAAAGTGCATTGGAGATCATTTTTTTTTGTTTTTTCTGTTTTTTTCTTTTGCCCTGTTTTTTTTTCTGGTTAAGGTCTGTGTGTGCCAAGTTTGGTGTTTGTTGGGGTCCTGGAGTTGAGTGCTTTCGCTAGCCCTGAAAAATCCTGAAAATCCTGAAAACTGAAAAGAGTGAATTTTGCATGAAAACACACTTTTGCCTTGCTGTTTTATAGGTTTTTAAAGTTTTTTTTTCATTTTTTTTTTTTTAAGTAGTTAGTATGATCTCCACTCTATGAATTGGTTAAAATGGCCCTTGGGTTTTGTTATAAATGGCCTGACAAGTGGTCTGACAATTGAGGCCTCTGTTAACCGTCTCTAAAATGTCAATGACAGCCTCTTCTCGCCACCACCAACAATGTATCCAATGTTGCTCTTCTTCTCTGGCGCTCGGAGCCCAGCCGATCCTACTCAGCACCTATACTAGCCTACAGCTACAACATGCAACCAGGAATCCCTTCCAGACGAAGGCCAATGTACATGATGATGTCGCCCATGCAGACTGCCGCATACGTCAGATATGTGTCGCTTCTCTCTCTCCTCTCATCACCTCCTCTCCCACACCCGAAGACCATGATCACCATCACCAGCCACCATGAGGCATGCCTGGCTATGGCTGCCTCGCACGCCTGCTGGCTGCTTGCAGCACCCCTCCACCTGTTGCTAGCGCCCGTGTGCGCCCACTACCAGCACCCAGACTGGCAGCGTGGCCACGTGCTCGTGCGAAGCCAGAATGTCTGGCTGGGCGCTGGGCACTTTCCTTTCTGGAATGTGCAGGTGCGATCTGGGCCCCAGTAACTTCCTGTTGGGCCAAAGTGTCTGCGCCCAGGCCCAGTTTCAGATACTGGCCTCTGGGGCCAGTGCACTTAGGCTCACCCAACTGTGCAACGTGGCTCTTGCCACTCGCTGCGTCCTGATTGGCCAAGAGGCCAGATTCCACATTGCTGGTTGGAAGGCCCGGAGGGCTCACGATGTCGTAGTCACACAGCCTCCATGTGCCTTGTAACGAACTGGCACCCTGCTACTGTCTGGCGCCCCCCAATTGCAGAATTGCAAAAATAGGTCTTGCGAGACAATGCAGGCCCACCTCTTAGGGTGGGCACGATGCTTACAGGGGGGCCCACTGGTGTCACTGCTGGGGCCTAATGGCCCTGCGAGGGGCTCATTTCGCGCACTCCCTCCTCCTCAGCTTCGAAAGTCCGCTGAGATGCTTCTATGCAGTAGCTTTCCCCTTTACCCTTCGTTCATAGTCTGCAATGATCTGAGGTGCTGTCTTCTGCAGCTCCTCCTTCGTGAACCAACGATCCTCCTTCGGATCCGTATGATGCCTGAATCTGACCCGGTATTCCCTTGCAGGTCTCGGCGGTCTTCCTCTGCCAGTTGGCTTTGGAACAGGCAGGTCTTGATGATCTACAATATCGTCGATGTCCACGTAGCCATCCATGGTTGGGGGCAGCGTTGATCGCGTTGATGGAAACTGATCAGTCTCAGTGAAGGTGCAAGCTTGGAAGCGTGGAACACAGGGTAAGTGTGAAGGTGACCTGGAATTCTAATCACATAGGCGGGACCATCAGATCATTCCCCATTATATCTAGGACTTCCCAAGGACCAAAGCACTATGGCATTTGTTTTCTAGAGATGCCAAATTCCTATCCTAACTCACTAGACCTAACCCAGACTCGTTCTCCAACCTGAAATGTGAACTGTCATCGGTGTTTGTTCTCAGATGCTATCATTGCATCTTGAGCTTTCCTGATGTGCTCGACAGCCTGCTGCAGCAACTTTTCATACTGGCCACCAAATTCAATGGTGCCAGGTGTTGCTGCTGGTTGGTTTTCAAGAAGGAGAAAGTAAAGAGGATATCAGAAACTATAGACCCATCTCTCTCCTAAACGTAGTCTACAAAATCCTAGCCAAAATACTAGCCACAAGGATAAACCGTATAACAAATACTTGCTTCCACATAGGCCAAACAGGCTTTATCCCCGGTAGATACATCCTCGACAATGTAATGACCCTATGCGAAACCACAAGGATTCTAAATCAAAAAAGGATCACAGCAGCCCTATTGTACTTCGATTTCGAGAAAGCGTACGATCAAGTTAATTGGTCTTGCCTGCAATCGTGTATGGAAAAAATGGGAATAGGTCCAAATTTCCGAAAATGGGTGAGAGTCCTGTATAATGACGCACAGGGTTTAGTCCAAGTCAACGGATTCCTGTCCAACCCCTACAGAATGACCAGGTCAGTAAGACAAGGAGACCCGCTGGCGGCACCTATCTTTCTCTTTGTCATGGAAGCCATTGCTTCATTCCTCAGAAAAGATGAATCCATAGAATGCTTAGAGGGCATCAAAGATGAAAGAGGCCACCCACTTCAGCTCCCGACCACCCTCCTTTTCGCAGATGACCTAACCGTCCTCATTAGAGCTTCTGATTCTTCCTTCCAAGCATTAATAAGAGCAATGCAAGCTTTCCAACTAGCCTCATAAATGAAAGTGAACTGGAGGAAAACAATAGGCTGGTGGCTATCAGACACCCAACCCCCACTAGAAAGCACGCCAGAAGGAATGCAGTGGGCAGATCCCTCTTCCCCCATGCGCTTCCTGGGCATAAACCTCAGCCTCAAAGGTTGTCACTCTGCCTCGGCAGACACCCTCATGTCCTCAATGATAAATAGGATGCACTGTTGGCAAGGCGTTCACACCTCACTCTTAGGCAGGGCACTAGCGCTAAACAACTTTATCCTGGCAATGATGTGGTATGTAACCACCATATGGTTCCCGTCCCAGGACTTACAAAAACAAATACGTAAAAGAGCAGCAGCGTTCTTCTGGACTGGAAACCCGGATAACCAGCACGTCATCCACAAAGTAGCATGGCAAATAGTCACACAACCCAAAAACAAAGGAGGTCTAGGGATCATCGATCCGGCTACCCAATTCCAAGCCCTTCATATCAAATGGATTATCAGACTTACCCTTCAAGGAAATCTACCCTGGATACAACTAGCTCTATATCACGTAAGAGAGCTGGCACCCTTCAAATCCCCCCCTAACATGACAGGCCTCTTCTGGATCTTCAATAAACAATGGACCCTCCCGAGAACGAAGAAAGTCGCAGGAATCGAACTAAGGCATGAAGAGAACGGGACCAATGAACACCCTAAAGCATTCTGGGAACAAATAATACACACGTGGAGAAAAATTTTCCCGGAAAGCAAGGTCGCCCCAAAGAGGAGGGACGAAGTGCTAAGACAACACCTATTTGGAAACCCATGGATTAAGGATGAAAACGGGGAACCCTTCCCACTCAACAAAACAAATTCCAAATGGGGCCTATGGTTGGAAAAAGGGGTATGGCAAATCCAATATCTATGGAGCACAGAACATAACAGATGGAACACAGAAGGAGAACTAAGAACGATACTCAAAGGTAACCACAACCTAAAGCTTAACTTATCACTCATCGTAGACACCATCCCCATAGAATGGAAGAAACTATTGAAAAATAAGCAACAATGGCACTGGGGTGATTGGGTAGCAACAATAGACCAAGGGCACCCGCGGGAGGTGCTTAAAATTTCAGAAACAAAACTTTTCCACGACAAATGGATTCTCGGTTCCATCTTCCCATTAGAAGAACCAGGTAACCCAGCAAGTCTTATCTCCCAAAACCCTAGAGCAGAAGGAGTATTCAGAATAGACAGACTCAGAAGAATTAGAATCATAGAAGGCGAAAGAAACAGAGCATACAAACCGGACACAGCAATACACCACCTAKAAATAGATCCTATAGAATGGTCTTGGAGCACCCCCAGCACGATCCCGACAGCAACCAGACGCCACGCCCTAACAGACTACACACCCAGGCTTGGATATAAACTATTCAACAAAACCCAACCAATCTCAACAATAATTAAAAAAAAAAGATGGGAAAAACATGAGAGCACTCTAGGAGAATCACTGGTACTCCCTCACTGGCCCACAATCTTCGGCACTAGACCGGTCAAGCTGGCCAGCCTCCTCTGGCTCATAGCATTCAGAGCAGTCCCGGTAAACCAATGGCTAGCCCAGAGAAGAAACAAGGACAGTAGAACGGAACAGTCAACCTGGTGCAAGGTATGCAACAAGCAAGCAGAGGAATCTATAAACCATTGTTTCTTAGATTGTGAACATGCAAAACAACTATGGTTGGACATAGAACTCTCATGGAATACTCCATCCAATAGAAATATACTCATAAACCCCGCTACCATACTCCTTCACGCAGACCAAACTCCTACACTCAAAGGTTTCGACTACTTCCTCTTTTCTCTACTCAGAAAAGGAACCCTTTGGGCCATTTGGAAAAGACTTTGCTATCTAACTTTCAACGACCATCACGCCCCCGCAGAAACACCCCTAATTATCATCAAACAAATAGTTGAAACAGAAATTTTAGCAGTATGGAAAAAAAACCTACATCAAATCCAATTACTACGAGACAAAAAAGAAGAAAGTACCAAATAATTCCTAATCCACAAACTAGGACAAGGCAAACTAGGTACAATCGATAGTGACAGAATTAGGTTCTATAATTGGTTAATCAGGCCCTCAACAACCAGACACGCACACGACCAAACCAATACACAACTCATTCCACAAACTCCCCCCAACCCAACCCATCCACACACATACTAACCATAACAGATGAAGAACCCACCAGTGACTCCCATCGCCCCACACCATCCCATCTCAGCTAACACCATCAACTACTAAACCCGTTTCCTCCCACACAATTACA